TCTGACATCTTTTTCCTGCTGGCTGTGGAAAGGAGATGGTCAGAAACGACCAACAATGGGATTCACAGCCCAGGTCAGCCTGAGGGCTGCTCTGAGCCCTGCTTTTGGCAAACTGGTGATCACAGCCCAACCCCAGGGCACCTGTGAGCTCCAGAACACCCAAACCCACACAGGTGTACCAGAGGCAATCAGCACCAGAGCTGAGACTTCTCCTGACAGGGGTCAGGCCTGTGGTAAAAATTCAGGAGAACCTGCAGCACTTCCCCAGTTCTGCCCCAAAAATGGGAAGTTTTTTCACTGTGGTCACAACAGTCAAAACCACACAAAGGGAACTCAGCAACCAACACCAAGGGGCTTTCAGCAGAAGCTGAGCTCCTGATAACATTCCTGTCTCTTGCTAATTATCTTTTAGTGATAAACTGTCAAGGTATTTGTGTTCCAAAGACTGATCTACCGGCTGATGTGCACAGTGATGCAGGAGTTGGTGCCTCCTTCCCCCCAGGGGCTGATTTTTGAGAGCAAATACATCTTTAGAGCTGTGTTAGAAGAGGACAGGGGACAGCCAGGTGAGGCAGGTAGGGGTGGAAACAGGAGGAAAAGCCACGATGAAGAGAACAGCACTGTGAAACAAAGAGGCTTTGGTATCATTAATCCAGAGGAAATGAATGTGGGTGTCAGACCCAAGGGGACAATCCCTGCCTGGAGTTGACACATTCCCTCATTTGAAAGGGACAAAACACACTGCCAGGTTCAGGCACCAGGCATTCCCACACCTCAGGCATGGAAATGTGCCTTTTGCACCCAAAATAAGAGAAGAAAAATGAGTAAATCTCTCCCTCTGTTCACATTTTTCTCACATCCCATGACTGAGCTGGAAGAATGTAATGATGAACTTTCCGCTCTGGCTGGTTCCAGGGGTTGTCTTTAAGCACTGGTTGGTATAAAAATACTTTAAAGAAATGCTCTTGCCTGTCCCCCCACTGCTCCCCCACCTGTGAGATGCAGGAGTGCAGCAAGGAGCAGCCTGCTTGGCTCCATCCATCAGCAGCAAAACTGTCAGCTCAGCTCCACCAGCAAAATCTTTATTACTGGTTATGATGCAGAAGGCAGGAACCACACGGTCTGATTTCCTCCGATCTGAGGCTGAGTTTGCAGCGGCAGCAGTTAGAGGGGAAATAATTTTGACTTTTCCCTCAGCCAATTTGATCTGGAAATTGTTGAGAGCAAATAAATATGGAACCCCACCGTGGAATTTCTGCAGTCACTCTCCAGCTACAACCACTTCTCTTTTTTTCCCCTGAGCATCAGTGATTTGTATTTGGCCACGTGTAAAAAATCAGCTAATCCCCAAAGCCATGCCTGACTGATCAATTACACAAATAATACCTTTTCCAGAGGTCATCCTAAGAGATGAGTAATCCCTTCCAAAATTTCCTAACCTGCAGCACGGGGAGATTTGTTATTTGGCTTTCTGCAGCTTTCCTGGAAAGGTCAGAGTGCCCCAGCCCTGGGCTGGCAGCAGGAACACACAGCAGTGGGTCCCAGACTGTTCTCCAGGTGACCAACGACCTTTAGCAGCAAAGGCTGTGCAATACAGCTGCTCTTTTTTTTATTTCCAAGAAAACAACTGTTAACTGACCCTGGACTTGTCTTTATGGGTGAACGTACCTGCACACACACGTCAGCCCTGCAGGTCCACCCCAGCCTGGCTCCTCACTCTGCAAACAGCCCCAGTGCTCCTCGTGCCCCAGAGGCTTTCCCAAACAGCAATAAAATGGGACAGGCCGTGGGGCTTCTCACTCTAAACTCTGTTTTTTATAAAGCAGGGGAAGTCTAGCCGGGCTACATGAGCTCCACTCTCCACAAACAGCCAGGAAAACCATGGCACTGCCTCTTCTTTAGCTGAAGACCAGGCAGCTGAGAGGTGGTGGGAAAGAATGGACACCAGCTCGGATTCCTGGCTGGAATTCCTCAGCCTGGAGGGTCCTGAGGAAAACAGAAAGCTCCAAGGCTCTAAGCTGGGCATCTTTGGTCGTGCACCAGTTTTTTCCTCCTGGCTTTCATCTGGCAGGCAGATGGGGGAAAAATATCCACAAATCGCATCCACACCCATCCTCCCCGTTACAGAGCACTGACCTGTGGGAATGGCCTGAGGGAAGGCAGAGAAAAGAACAGAATTTCCAGTGCAAGGACAGCTGGGGACTGAAAGCTGGAGGAAGGAGGGAAAAGCAACTCAGAACAGCCAGCACGGCCACCACCTGCCCTGCTGGCATCTCACACCATGTGAGCAATATTTGCTAATCCAAAGACTGTATCATCACTTCTTCCTTGCAATTCTTTCTTTCTCCATCTGTTTCTTTTTATGCAGCATTTGTCTCCCAACCTTCCTGGTTTGTTTTCCTCTTGTCTTTTTGATTAACAAAAAGAGACACACCTTATCTCTTCCCCAGGCTGCACCACCCTGCCTTGTTTTGCGTGTTCAGCCTCATATCTCAGCACCATATTTGTTTCTCTCTCTCTGAATAAATAGAAGTGTAGGCACTTTTAAGAAATAAGGGCTCCGTTTGAAGAGTAATTAGCTGTCAGCATAAAACTAATATTTATGGATTCTCATCCTTGAAAACTCTAACTCTGCTACCCAGCACTGATTATGGCTGTTAGAAACAGATGGGGCTGAATCCATACAGCTTGAAATAATGCTATATTTAAAAAATAATTAACTCCAAATGAAGGACTGAATGCCATTCGCTTCCCCTAAATTTGATCTTTCAATTTGATTTGTCTGCACAGAGTGGAAGCTGGGTTATTCCCGGGTATGCTGTGCTCCCTGGCACACCTTGGAGGTGGGAATCTGCAGAGACCCAGGCACACGTGAGGGCTCGGCACTGGAACATTCCAAACACCCTGGGACTGTAAAGGAACCAACCCAGCACCCCCGGGTGTGCTGAGTCTGGCTGCCTGGCACACCAATTGCAATTTCACCAGCAGTGCAGCCTTTGTTTTAGTGCCTGACAAAGACACTGGGAGGGGAGCTTAAAATACTGTTTTTCAGATGCGGGTTGGAGAGGATGAAAGCCCTCGGTGTGTTTTTCCCTGACCTGATCCTCTCTTCAACCCAGGGCAGCATCGTCGCTGGATGCCTGCAACCTCTGCGAGAGCACAAACCCAGGAAATTTATACTCTGCTTAATTAAATCTGTGCCTTTTACTTATTGGCACCTCTTCCGGGAGCAGAATTCCCTCCAAGTTGGTTATCCATCACGGCGAGGGATCCGACAGCCACAATGGAATCCCACACAAACCTGGTTAACTGGGTCACAGCCTGCTCCGTGTGCCTGCCAGGCTGCCACGCACGAGCTGGAGGCACGGGGCCAAACCCTCCCCTCGCCCTGGCAGCCCCGCAGAGGGGTCAGCTCCCAGCAGTGGGTGACAATTCCAGCGCCAGTCCCACCGGGACCTACAGGGACAGAGCCTCCCGCTCCTCCCCGACTCCCGCATCCTGTCCCTCCATCCCCCTGGACCAGCCAGGTTCTGTCATCTGGTTTTTGTACAAATCCGACCCCCCCAGGGATGGAGACTCTTGCACAACCAAAGACATCTCCCACCAAGCGAGGTTTTTCCCTTTTATCTCCCCGAATAACCAAAAGGGAATTTTCATTTCGCTAATTTCAGTCACACCCCACCAGGCAGCCCCGGGTGAGTGGAGGTGTGTGCTCAGAGACAGGGACACCCCAATTCCTGCACCCTCCTTGGGAAAAGGAGGGAGACAGGGACCTTGTGTGAGAAATGGGGGCGAGGCTGGGGAGGTGACGGGGATTGAGGGGGGACATGGCTGTGAGAGGAGGTGACAAGGATTGAAGGGGGACATTGGCTGTGAGGGGAGGTGACGGGGATTGAGGGGGACATGGCTGTGAGGGGAGGTGA